TGTCACCCGCTGTTCGGGGATTGGGTGGGGGGCGGTGAGCCGGACGCTCCCAGAAACTGTGTCATGGGGAACAGGGTCTCCCGAGAGTTAGTGACGGCCCAGTCCTGAAGCCCCTGCGGGCCCCCTCACATTCCCCAGCTGACCTGACCTACTGCCTCCTTCTCAGAACCAAGGGGTCCCGCAGCACCCCGGAAACCTCGCTCTTTGAAAGCTCACAGAAAGTGCCCCCGTCGAGGACCGTCGAGGCTGTGCTCCCCCCCCCCCCCCCCGAGAGCTCCCTTGTTTAGGCAGTTCCCGCTCCCCTCCCACCCTGCATGCCGCAGCATGCTGGGAACTTCCTGGGCAGTTGTCCCAGCTTGGGGCACCCTGAGAAGCAAGGTGGGTCATAGGAGGGTGGGGTGTAGAGCTCCCCTGGACGTGAGGAATGCACGGAGCCCCAGACATCTCCGGGAAACACTGATTCTGACGTGTCAGGTCTGGGCGGGGCCCGGGAGCTGAGCCAAGGTCGAGGGTGACCGTGGGCAGGTGCCCCTTCCTGGGCCTCGGTGCCACCGTCTAAACAGGGTGGGTGGCATGGCTCACTGCCCGGCTCTTGAGGGGCTGTAGACGGGTGTGGCTGGCCCTGCAAGCTGGGTTTGCCCATGCCCGCTGCCAGGACAGGCTAAGAGCCCCTCTGGTGTCCTTGAGCCCAGCTTGGTAGAGGACCGGTGATGGCCCTGTGGACTGCTGGGGCCAGGCCACAGCAGTGTCCCCCAAATCGGGCCCAGCACCAGCAGAGCCCAAAGCTCAGAGTCTGATCCGTATGTTCCCATCAGCTGGCGGGGCTGGGGTGGCATCTCTGCCCAGCCTCCAGGGGGCAGCACCTGGCAGAACCCTGCGCCCCTGGCCCAGAGGGATTCTTGCTCCCATCGATGCCAGGAAGCCCCTGCTCTCTTGTGAGAGACCCCCCCGGGGCGGGCAGCAGGGGTGGACAGATGTGGCATCATTCACTGAGGTGCTTCACGAGCCTCGTGGTCAGGAGCCCTGACCACTGGGGGGCACAGAGACAGGGCGGGGGTGACCATCCTGATCCAGCCGGGCCCGCCCCTGGCCAGAGGACGCAAAAGGCTGCAGTGGGCTGCAAACCGCTGTCCACGTCTGTCACCTGCCCCTGCCCCCTGGCCCCTGAAGCCTCTCTGCTCCCTCAGCTGCCCAGGGTTCTGAGGCCAGGAGTGCCACAGCTGTCGTGGCTGCTGTGGTCTCTGTGGCCAGATACGTCTGTGTCCCCTGTGGGTAGCCCTTGTCTCCCTTCCTCAGGGCCGCACCTCCCAGTGGGCCGAAAGACCCACCCCTGACCCCCACTCCAGCTCTGAGCACAGACTGGAGCCTGGAGTCCAGTCTCTGTGCCAGAAGGTCCGGCGGGGGGAGGGGGGGGGGGACACATCCCTGTCCTCAGCCCGGGTTGTGAGGCCTCCTGGGGGACTTCCGGTCCTCCTGGCCCCCGCAGTGCCCGTCCCTTTTCACCCCAGAGGTGAAGCCACGTGAAAGCCCCCACCTGGTGTGTGTGTGGGGGGAAGGAGGGTCTGCGGGTGTGTCCCTGGGGGGCTCTTTGAGTGGTGTGGTACCTGTCCCCCACTTCTCGCTGGGCTGTCGGTCAGGGGGGCGTGGGGGCAGGTGTCTTTCCAGACCACTCTCAGCGCGGTCCCTGCATCCTCCCCCCGCGCCGCCACACACACACCAAAGGTCGTGACCCAAACCATTCCCCCCCTCCTCCCCGCTGGCCTCTCCCCAGAACCGCCGAGGCCCCTGGCTCACCTCTGCCGGCTGCAAGTGCGCAAGGCCGTGGGCAGGAGCCGGCTGGGGCTGGTGGACACGCTGCCGCTGCCCCCCCGGCTCATCCGCTACCTCAAGTACGAGGACCGGCAGTGACCACGGCCCGTCGCCCGGCCCAGGACTCATCAGGACGGGCGAGGCTGCGGCCTTGGGCTCCCCCGGGGGGTCACAGAGCCATCACTTCGCCAGTGCTTTGGCTGGAACTGACCTGGACGTACCACGTGGGAGGAGAACCCCGCCGTATGTGACTCAAGGGGGCCCCCCATGGTGGCCTGGGTCCCTGTGGGGGGCTGGGCCGGGGGACCCAGGGGACAGCGTTGTCTCCGCCATGTGTGGTTCTGGCTCCCCACTCCCACCTGTGGCCCGGTGGGGCAAGGGGAACCCCTGTCCCGAGCACCTCCCGGAGTACAATAAACGTGGCATGGTGACCCCTGCCGGCAGGTCCCTGTCACCCGTGTCCAGCAGCACCCTCGGCGTTGGCCCTGAGGCTGGTGGTTGCTGGTGGTGGGATGTCGGGGGGGGGGGGCGGGGTGGGGGTGGGGGACACTCCGCTGACTTGCAGCCAGGGCGTGGGCAAGCGAGTACTTCATGGCCCAGGAGAGCCTGAGCCGAGCCGAGCCCAGGGCACGCGTGCCCGCCGCCACCACAGCGTCCAGCTGGGCTTTCCTCGCCCGGCCCCGTCGCCATGGAAACGGGAGCTTCGTCTCCAACAGGGACCAACAAGGCCCGACACGTGGTCCTGGCATCCGTCTCCACAGCCTGCCCGCCCGGTTCTGCCACAGAGGTGGCCGCATGCATGCGGGGGGAAAGGCCCTTAGGGATGACGGACGGCCCGGCACGCCGCCGCACGGTTGGGGGTGTGGGGGTGAGTGGGGTGAGTGGGCGTGAGGCTGGTACCCTCCCTGGGAGCTGGGGGTCCGAGAGGTGCCTGCCCGGGGCGGAGCCCGCAGGGATTCTCGGGGAAGGACGTGAGCACCACCGGGTCGGCTGCTCTGCCGGGATCTCTGGTCTTCTAGGGGGAGGTAGGTTTGGGGTCACCCCCTGCTGCGAAGAGGCTGTGCCCCCGGACCCCAGGATCGAGTCTCTGGAGGCCAGACTGTGTCCAGGGACCCTGGCCAGACCCCGGCTGCCTTCTCTGTTCTGGGGTGGGCTTCTGCTCTCTCACTCGGGGCTTCTCTGCGGAGGAGGGAGCCCGGTGTTAGGGTAAGGGTCAGAGCTTGCCAAGCTCTGCTTGTCTGTGGCAGCCCTGGGACTCGGGGGGAGGCAGCCCCAGAGAGGGAAAGGCACTCGCCTGGGGACACACAGCAAGATCTGGTCTCTGGTGCAACAGCAGCACGGCGTTGTGGACCCGTGGGTGGTGCTGCCACGTCCCGACAGATCCCTAAAGTGGGGTATCCCCATGTGGGGGGGCCCATGGAGAGCTCAGGGGCAGGGTGGGGGGTCCAGATGCACGGGTGGGGAGGGCAGTCAAGCACCCCTACAGGCTCACACAGGGCTCCTTCTGTGTCTTTAGGCCACAGACCCGGGTCCAGCCTGGGCCTCGGTGGAACCCCCCCCGCCCCCGCCTGCCCCCAGCCCCAGTGGGGGGCTCTCGCATGGCTGCTTCTCCGGCTTCTCCATCCCAGGCCTCCGCAGCCCCAATTCCTGGGCAGGAACAACTTCCCCCTGGGATTTCCACCTTGGGGTTCCCCCGGCCCAACCCCCGACATCTACGGGGCTGAGCAGTCGGGGAGGGTTCCTGGGTGCAGACCAGCACGAGTCACTCTGGGCGGGGCGGGGGGCGGGTCGGGGGAGGATGTGCTGGCTTCCTGCAGGGGCTCAGTCCCTGCTTGTGCCGCTGTGGGGGCCCCAGGCTCCTGCATGTCCCGCGGAGTTTGCGGCTGGCGGGTAAGAGGGCCACCATGTCTCTGGGGAGTGGGGACAGGGTCGGGGGGGTGGCACACATGACCTCTGGCGCTTGGCACCTTCTCGAGGTGGGGGACTGACACCCACCAGCACCTCTGGGAGGGGTCCGGAGGCCCGCGGAGGGTGTCGGGGGCTGGTGCGCCTCATTACGGCCCCGGCCGCTCCCGCAGTGGGCGTTTCTCCATCACAGCATGGGACAGGGACCTTCTGGCATAGAGAGGTGAAGTCGCTTGCCCTCGATCACACCGCAGCTTGGTGGGGGATGGGGGAGGGGGGAGAAGCCGACCAGGAGCCTCCGTCCTCCCTGCTCCCTGGTGGTGTGCGGAGGCCACGCCCATCAGACGACGCTTCGAGGGGCAGGGTGGGCCCCATGCCCCCAGCCGCCTGAAGCCAGGGCCCCCCCCATGCCTAGTGAGGGCCTGTGTCACCTGAGACTGGGGGACAGGATCTTCAGCCCCAAGCTGCCCGGCGACTCAGGGCAGAAGCGGGCAGGGGCCGCACACCGTCACCCCCTGGCCTGCGTGTCGGGAAGGACGCGGGGGCCAAGGAGGGTAGGAGGCGCCCGTGTGCCCGGCTCGTCTGCACAGGCTGAGGTGGGGGGGACCGAGGAGGGGCACTGCCACCCAGGAGGCCTGATTTTGTCTGGACATGCTTGGGGCCACCTCGCCCCCCAGGAGAGCACTGTCGCAGGAGCCCTGGCCCAGGAGCCTCTCAGACCCAGAAGCCATGACAGTTCTGTCCTCCAGGCCCCCACATGGCCTGCTGCCCGCTCTGGGGTGTCTCGGGAAAGGGTTCAGCCCCGCAGGCTGGCCTGGGGGGTGGTTGTGTGCCTGGAGACCCCCACCCAAGCCCGCAGGTGGGCTGAGGCAGGGCTATGGGGGAGCCCCCATTCTCGGGGCGCTGGGGCGTTCCTTCCCCGGCCCTAACCCCTCCCCCACCCCGCCCTCTTCCTGGCAGGGTTCTAGCTCGGAACCCCCCCACCCCAGGCAATGCCCGTCACAACAGCTCAGGTGTGGGAACTGCAAAAGAAAAACTTTATTCCTTTAAACCTTCTTAATATTTACAGAGAACAAAAACAAACAGCAGGTGAGCTGGGCCTGACAGGGTAGGTGGTGGGGGCAGGAGCAGGGGGCTGACTTCGAGGGCAGGGGGCGGGGGTCTGGCCGGCATGGGAAGGACCAGGTGCAGCCCCGCCCCGCGGCTCCCGGGGCTGCCAGCCTCACCCTGCACCCCCCCGTCCCCCACATGACTCGCCCCACCCCGGCCGGAGCCCATCCCGCTGGCTAGAGGTAGCCAAAGACATTGAAGAGTGGGGGGGCCCATGGCCGGCTTGGTGGGGATGGGCTTCAGGACCACCGGCCGGTACACCTTGGGGCCCGGGCCGTCCGCGTCCTTGCGGAAGTGTGCCAGCTCCCCGGGCAGCGGGGGGCTTTTCCTCCACAGGCCCAGGCTGGGCAGTGGGCTGGGAGGCAGGGCCCCCGGAGGCCCGGGGTAGATGGGCTGTCCATGGTACTGGAAGGGGCAGCAGGTCCAGGCGCTGGCCCGACCCGCCAGGGTCACCCCCGGCATCCTCAGGAACTCCTTGTGGGCCTGCAGCCGGGTGACCACGGGCCCCGGGGACTCCAGGGCCTGGCGGGGCTTCTTGCCCTCGTAGGGGGGTCCCGCCGGCCCCCCGGCATAGCAGCCGTGCGCGGGCCGCGGCTCCTCCCAGAAGGATGCGGGCAGCTGTCTCTTCCGCATGGGCACCTGGCCGGGCTGGGCGGCGTCAGGGTCCCGCCCGGGGGTCTCCTCCCCACTGCCGCCGCCGCAGCCCTCCGTTCCCCCACCGCCGGGGCTGCCCTCGGGGGGCGGCTTCCCCGGGCGGTCGTCGTCGTTGGGGCCCCGCCTGGGGGTCGGCTCGGCCCCCCGGCCTGGGAGCCCCCGCGGGAGTCGCGAGCACTTTTGGGAGAAGCGCTTGAGCTGCTTCTGCAGGTACTTGCGGTGGTCCACGGAGCGGCGGCAGGGGGCCGACTTGTCCAGCGCTGCCTTGATGTCGCTGGACGCCAGGTTCACGAAGTTGAGCAGCATCTTGACGTCACTGTCTGATGCCATGGCCGCGGGCGCGGGGCGCTCGGCTGTCCATGAAGGGGCTGGGTTCCACGGGGGGCTGCCGGCTCGGGCCTGCGGGGTGGGCACCGTGGGCTGGCTGAGTCCCCCCGGGAGGAACCACCGCTGCCCGCACCCCTCGGCCCTCCGCGGGCATCAGCTGGGCATGGCGGTGCCCACGCCCAGCCCGGGGCACCTTGGGGGCTGAGCTGGCCTGGGCCGAGGCCAGGGCTGGCTTCTGAGGCCCGGGGCAGCTGACCCTTGCCGCGGGGGCAGGGACAAGAGGCATTGCTGCCCCCCGCGACCCCCCACCCCTCCCCATCTCCCACAGGCCCTGCTGCCAAGCCCTCGCCGGGTGCCAGCCAAGAAGTTCCTGCTTGACTGGCAGTGCCAGCCGCGTGTTCAAGCCAGACCAAGCCCCCTCTCCCCGCGTGGCACCCCCTCCTCCCACTCCACCCCCGCTGCAGCCTCCCCGTACCTGCCCCCCCCCCACGCCCACGCTCCACCCCCAACGCTCTCCCTCTCTCTCCCGCGCAGGATGGCAGGACCCCCGTCTAGCGTTTGCTTGCAGCCCCGGCTGGCCTGGTGGGCTGACGGCAGCTGTGGGCCGCGGGGCTCCCCGCTCCAAGCAGCTGTTGCAATTTCATGCCTGCCCGGCCACCCCGAGTCCTGCTCCCCTCCCCACCCCCCTGCTCCAGCCCCGGCCCCGGCCCCGCTGCAAGCCCCCACCCAATTTAGCTGGAGCTTGCTGGGCCTCCACGCTGCTGACCGAGGGTGCGGGCCCCGGGCCCCCTGCCAACAAGGTCCTCCCACCCCGGGGGGCAGGGTCCCCGCCGCTGCCGCAGACCTGGGCCAGGCCCAGCGCACGGCCGGCCGGCGGCGGCGGCCGCAGCGAGCTCCGTCTGTCCGTCCGTTGAGGTCGGGCCGGCTGCAGCAGTGTAGGCCCTTAAGTGGGCTGAATGGAGGACGCTTCTCAGAGCTGGGGGGCCCCCAGGCCAATCAGGAGCGCCTCTCCAGATACAAAGCCTCCCGGTCAGCCGGCAGCGCCCCGTTCCCACATTCTTTGCCGTCACAAATTGTCGCCATGGGGACCATCTCTCACACACACACACACACACAAAAAAAAGACGGCGCCCCAACGCAGCCGTTCCCGGCTCACTTCGGCTCTCCGGGCCGGCCGGCCAGCGCAGCCGGGTCTCCGCGACCCCCCTTCCCTTGACCTGGGTTCCCAGGGGGGCGGTGTGCGTGTGCGTGCCAGGGTTGCGTGTGCTTCAAAGGCCTGGGATCGGGGAGGCACTGCGCCCGCGAGCGAGTGAGCGAGGGCTGGCCGAGACCCCCCCCCCCCACACCTTCCCAGGACGTCGGGAGATGCCATGCTCCACTGCAACCAGACAATCGGACAGGGTAAGCTGCCGGGCCGACCTGCTTTCCACCGGCCTTGAGCGGGCTCGCTGGCCTCTCTAGCACCCCCCTTCCCTCTCATCGTCGTTGTTCCCTTTACCCCCCCCTCCCCAACACGCCCCGCACCCGCCTTCCCCGGGGCCGCCCCGGCCTTTGGAGGGCCCTGACGAGGGCTGGCAGGCAGCACACGGGCTGTGCAGTCCGGCCAGGGAGCCCCGGGAAGGGGCCCCCTAATGAGGTTCTGGGATATCCCTGGGAAGGGAGCTGGGGCGCTCAGGAATCTTGTCTTTATGTTTGCTTCCTCAATTGAACCACACAAAGCCTGAATTGCCCATTCAGCGCGGCCGGACAAAAGGCTGGCGTTCCCGGCCCCCTCGCATTTGTAGTCAAACAGTTAGGGACTTAAATCGAGTCGTCATGATGGAGAAAGGGGTGGACAAAGCCCATAGATTTGCCATCAGCAAACATTTTCCTGTGTCATATTACCCAGTCTCCATGGCTCCCCCTGGCCCGGGGACAATGACACAAGTTTGCACACTTGGCTACTGTCACCGTGCCAACGCCGGCCGGGCTGCAAGCAGGGCGAGCTGAGGGAGTGAGCGAGCGAGAGCCGGCCGCTGCCCACTGGCCCTGCCCACCGACGGCCGGAGGGAAGGTGTGCAAGGTGCGGCCTGGGAAACGCTGGTGTTTCCCAGGTGGTGGCCGGGCGGCCGTGGGGAGTGCCAGGCTGTGCCCTTGGCGCTTGGGTCGCCTCACTTATGCCCAGCTCAGCTGCATCGCTGGAGAATGATTTGCCAACCCTCACCTTGGCAGCCCTCCTGGGAATGAATGTCAGGGATGCCTCTTAACGGCCGGACCCATGGGCGGGGCCCGGGAGTGACCATGCCACCGCGTCCGTCCGGCACGGCACACTGACCCTGGTATCTGAGCCTCCGTTCTGAGCAAAAGGCAGGATTTGTGCGGGGATTGTCAATCAGCAAACCTGCAGGTGCAGCTCCACGCCGGGCTATGGGTAGGGGGCAGCCCCCCCGCCCACGTTCTAGTGCCTTCCCGGGGTCTTCATGCGTCCCCTTTACCCGGCAGCCTGTGTCCAGTAGGGTAGCTGCCGCCGGAACCCCCTCAGGGTGGGAACGAACCCTGCGGTGACATGTGGGGTCTCACGGGTGCGGACAGCAATGTCCTGCACGCAGGGCTCAGGAGGGGACCCCTGTCCTGCGCGCCCACCCCCCGCCCCATTGAGTCAGTGCTGGGAGCCTGGCCTCCGGCGAGGCTGTTGAGGCTGTCCCCTCGGGGACCTCCTGTAGTGCCTGCCTTGAACTTGCCCAGGCCCCGGGCCGTGCGCAGACGGAGCGAGGATGGGGGGGGGGAGTGGGAGGGGGGGCAGAGAGGAAGGGGGAGAGGGAGGGGCAATGGGGGCCGATGTCTGCCCATGGGGGTCTCCCCGACGGCGGCGGGAGAGGGTGGGCACCTGCGGCTCTCTGTCCACAGCCTCTCGCTGACCTCTGGTCTCCCTGGGTGGCCCTGGGCACCCGCCCGGCACCGCGCACCCCCACCGGCTCCCATGCGCTCACGGGACCCTCTGAAGTGCTGTGGGGCTGGGAAGTTTTCCAGGGCTCCAGGTTCTGAGTTCGAGCCCCGCCCCTCCCCCACAGCCGAGTCTGCAGCCACAGCCGGGGAGGCTGGGGGCCCGTGGGGGTGACGAGGCCTGTTTGGACCCAGCCTCTCCTTTCCCGGTGTAGACAGGTGAGTCGGAGTCAAGCGTGGTCTGTCCGGAGACCCCCACGCTGCTCTCTCCTTAGTTGGCTGCGCCCGCCGGGAGGCAGGGCTCCCCCTAGTGGCCAGCAGTGGTTCTCCAGAATCAAACCATCCTCTGATTCTTGGACCCTGCCCAGCCAGGCCTCTTCTTAGCAATCCTTCAGGGCAGCTCAGGCACCCCCTCCTCCAGGAAGCCTTCCTCTAACTGCCAGCGCAATGGCCGACCCTTCTCCATTCCTGATGGCGACAGACTCCGAAGCAGGTTTCACCTCCTTGACCCAACACAGAAGACCCTTTGTGATGTGTCCCGCCCAGAGTCACTTCTCACTAAGTGTTTCACAAATTGTTTGCGTTGCCATTCCTACTGACTCGGATTTATCCCATATCCAGAAACTTCCTGTGCCCCCCCGCCCCCACACACACATTCCCCCTACATTGGTCTCCTTTAGTTGAGCTCCAACAGGGCTGGGCACTGACTTGCTGGTCCATCCTTGTACTAGACCTATCCCAGCCCAAAGCAGACCAGAGCAGGAAGGGCCCGGATGGCTGTTCGATGACAGCAGCTCCACACGCCTTGGGAAGCGCGAGGGTCTAGATACGAGGTCCCGACCCACAGTCACACGCCCTGCGTCAGCCCAGGGCTCCAGCAATGCTCTGTCGAAGGGAGGGTGCCATGCTGGACTGAACTAGAGGGTCCCCGCCCTCTGCTTCTGCTGCCTCAGGTCCATCCAGAACCCTCCATGTGACCGGAAACAGCCCGTGGGAAGGGGAATCCCCGAAAACTTGCCCCTTTGGTACCCAGGGAACTGACTGGAAGGGACCCGGGCCGAGTAGGCAGGTTAAACAGCCCTTTCCCGCCCCACCGAGAGCAGGCAGAATGACCCCCAACTTCTCTCGGACCCCCAAGTGAGTGTTGTGACTCCCTAGTAGTTGGGGGTCCTTTCAGCCTGCACCCCCTTCTGGAATCAGCCAAAGACATGAACAGAATGGGCGCAGGGGGCGGCCATGGGCACCGAACCCGCTGTCCCAGACAAAGGGGCCCCGGGCAGCGGCGGTGGGGTTTGAGGAGACAGCTTCCCCTTCGCCATGAGGAAGAGAAATGTGATACCCGCCCCGCACCCCTGCAGGGGCCTCAGAGGAAAATGGCTCAGGGCCCGCCCAAGCACACACTCGTCCCCCCCAGAGCTGTCCGCTCCCCAATGCGTGTGCAGACGGGACCAGCATTCAGGGGCTGCGTGAGCGACGGGGTTAGAATGGGGACCAAGGCTGAGCCTTGTGTGGGCTGCTGGGATCCAGGGAAGCTTGATGGAGCAACGGGAACGGGTCACCGAAACACCTGAGACTCCCGTCTAGCGAGAACCACCCGTTCCCGGGCCCCAGGAGGTGGTCACGGGGGATTCATGTCCCCCGGCTGCTTGGGGAGCACATGAGCGCCCAGTCCACATGAGCGCGGGCGTGAGTATGTCTGGAATGGGAGTGACGCGGTCCCAGTGGTGAGGTTAGTCAGGGCCTACGGGCTCCACCTCACCAGGAGGCCCGGGCAGGGGGTGGGGACCACTCCAGGGACCGAGGCTGCAGGGCGCTGAGCTCAGCCCGTTGCTGATGGTCAAGGCCTCCTGCTAGTGCATGCGGGTAGTCTGTGCTCTCCACGCTCCATGCCCAAGGAGAAGCCCCCTGGGATCAGGGCAGAGGGCGCCCCCTGGAGCCCAGGAGGAAGCCTTGCGCCCACTCAGCCCCAGGGCCTGCCTACAGCAGAGACTGATCAGGGCACCCGCCCACCCTGGCAGGCATGTCCAGGGTCCCCTCTCCCCTGGTCCCTCCCATGTCACACTTAGTCCTCGCGGGTTTAAGGAGGGCAGTGGGGACCCCACAGGGTGGCTGTGCAGTGGGGGGGTGGGCTGGTGGGGCACTGCAGCTGGAAGCCCTGGCCCAGCAGGATTGCAAACCACGGGGCTTCAGAGCAAGAAAATGAGAGTCCTTCTTGCCTTATTATTATTATTTTTTGAGAGGGAGCACACTTGGTGGTACTCGGGATCACTCCTGGCTCTGTGCTCAGGGATGACTCTTGGCTCTGTGCTCAGGGCTCACTCCTGGCTCTGTGCTCAGGGCCTTACTCCTGGCTCTATGCTCAGGAATCACTCCTGGTGGCACTTATGGCTGGCACCAGGAACCTGGGGTTGGTCGTGTGCACGGCAAGTGTCCTGTCCACATCTTGTCCCTTCTTAAATGAAGAAAGGAAAGCAGGAAGGGTGAGACATCCCAGGGAGGGGGTCCTTCTGTCCTGGCTTTGGGAGTTCACCCAAGCCCCCGTCCCCCTGTGTGTGAAACCAGGGTGGGGATCCCCCCATGCAGACCACCTGAAAGTCTTCTCTGATGACTTGGACTGCAGGTGGCCGAGCCCCTGCCCAGGCCCCGTGGCTGGTCTCAGCCCTGTGTTAGGAGGTGGCCGAGCTGTCACTGGCCCCCTACAGGTGATCACTCGGACCCTACCCCCAGAAGGAGCCCCAACTTACACAGTCTGGCTTTCTGGTCACTCGTCACGGTCAGCTCGCTCTGAGTCCAGGTTTCTCATCTGGGAAGAGGAGCCAAGAGTCAGGTGCTGGTGGGAGGGGGGACCCGGCACCCCCTGCTGCTCCAACCACCCTGGGGGGCTGGGCTCCCCACTGCAACCCCGAGGGACTCCCCCCAGAAGACCCCACACCCTGCATCCCCGCCACTGATCTGGGCTGATGTCTGCCACCAGCTCGTCACCTGGAATGTGTCCTGGGCTGCCTCCGGAACGGACGTGTCTCCTCACCCACTCAGGAGGGAAA